ATATCAGTGAGCTGAACAGGACAAAAACTGTCCAAATTTAAACCAGGTTGTAGTAAAGTTTCTAAAGCTGCATCGTCTGACAGGGAATCAGGGGTAGTAGTAGGAAGGATGGTTGGAATTTTCTCTCTAACTTAAATACTTTTATTTATAAAGAATCACGTGGATTCAATGGTAATTAACTTGTATAAATTAAGGTTGAATGAATGAAAAAGTTATATTGGATAGTAGGGGTGGGTGATATGGCTCTGTAGTGAACTAGGCCTCCGATCAAAACCTGCCTCTGAAGACCTTCATGGGACAGGAACTGTTATTTCATTGATTTGAATCCAGAAATACAAATTAGCTCATCCAGAGACTTTCTAATTGTATCCTGAACTAATCAATTGAAAGAACACTCTCTTTTTTATATTATCATTACTATTTTACAATATCTTGATAATCAAAAGTGTGTTTAGTTCATACCATTTTTAAATGTTGAAGTGAACCACTCATTTTAAATCAGCTGTGAAACGGTATTAATGATTTTTAATCCTCATTTAAATCAGAAATCAAGTTAAATGTCTATTTTACAAAGTAATTATGCATTTTTGATCTTCTGTCTGAAATGAGAAGTAGTGATGTCAGTCAAAAGTCGGAGACAGTCAAGAAACAAGTTGTTGGAACAATCTGTCGTGTTTTTAAAGCTCTCAGACAGTAAACAAGAGAACTGGCACCTGCAGTGTTTCTCACTTCGTCAAAACTTTCTCTGTCTGTTCCTAAACATTTCTGCTGTTTTCTCGACTTGTAAAAACCCTTTGACGTCACTAAAACCACACCCTTGTTGGTTCCTTCAACCAATCAGGACTTACTAAAAGTGACCGGAAGCAGAACTCTTTAAAAGTCGACACTTTCTGGAACTGTTAATTCCGTTAGTTCCTCGGAGTTGCTCTGAGTTACGTTGGTTCTTCTGGAGTTCCTCTGAGTCTTTTGAGTTCTTCAGAGTCTCTTCTGAGTTTTTCTCAGACTCAGTCTTCTGAGTCGAGTTGGGATTATGGAGTCTTCCACATCTGAGTGGAACCTCTGACGGACTCACAGCTCGCTGTGTATCCACCCGGGAGATGAGCGTGTTTGTTGAACGGAGTACCGTCACTACTTCGGACGATTCTCAGCCATCCTGAGGAGACGCTGAAAGGTAGCGTTGAAATGGAACTCCGTACCGGAGCTGACCTATCTTCTGCAAAGGTAACGAGTCACTTCACTACCTAGTGTACCGGGGCTGAGCTGGGGTCGGATGAAGGGTGCCATTCCTAGTCAACACACTTTCCCTCATCCATCTTTTCTCTCCATTTAAACTCCTTCATTTCCCATCTTTAAACTTCTATCTTGCCAGTAATTAATCCAGATGCCTTCAGAAATGTCTGTTGTTTTTATTAAGTAAAACGTGCCAAGTTTTATTAATCAGAAGCAGATCAGTCTAATCAAGTGTACAATGTTTTGATGTTAAATTTTGATTCTGTTAATAAATGACCACATTTATTTTGATGGGTCAAAGAAAATTAACGTCTCATGTCACTGATTAAACCATCTACGCACAGTTACCTCTGTCACATATCTGTAAAGTTCGAAAAAGAGAGAACCCATTATTTAAATAAAATTGTAGTGGAGTTCTGAAGCTAACCTGTAGCCATTCTAGCACACTACAGCTCAAATATAATATTGTGACATTTCACAGAATTCTGACAATAATGGTAAATTTTGTGATAAAACAAACAAACAAAAAACAGAAAACATAGTTATTCATTTGATAAAATTACCTTAACGTGTTGTTTTGCGTTATTATATAAAAACAACAAAAAACAAGAAGGGTTAATTTTATTGAAATTACTTTATTTAGTAAAGTATTCAGTCTAAAAGTATAAAAATAAAAAAGATCCTTCTGTTATCTAGATTGAAAAAGTCTGCACAAAATATAGATCAACAAAATCCACCACAAAAACTAAAGTGCAGGTGCAGTTCCCAAAATAACTAAATAAAATTAAAGCTTAAGATCTGTTGAGTATAAATGTAACATACATGTTGTGTTTTGCTGAATTGAAATGGAATTGTATTATTACATAGAAAGGGCACCAGAGGTCGGTCTAAGACTGTATGTTTAAAATATGCTAACAGTGAGATGAAACACGAGAGTAAGGAAGTAAAACGGGAGGACTCAGTGCCCTCTGGTGCCTTTTCTATGCAATAACAATTCAGCAGCAGAACATAACAATACAACAAAAATATGTTGCCTTTAATTGAGGTATAACTTCCAAAACTTGTCACAATGTGTCTTCAGCCGACCCAGCTTGTATTAGTGTTTCAGCATCCTCTATTCCTGCAGGAATGATTCCATCTCTCTGATTCCTCTGTCTTTGATTACCTGCCTCTTCTCTTGGTCCATGGACTGACTGTGGAACCATGGCTCAAGATACACAGCCGTGCCGCGCTTTGTTTATACTGGAAGTTTGTCTATGTATGGTTTGGGGGGGCGGGGGGGTTGGAGACACAGCTGAGTTGCGCATTGTTTGTTTTTAGCTTTTTAGCTAGCTATTATTGCGCGCAGCTAGCTTAGTGTTACGCCAGTACCAACAGGTGGTTGTGGTGGGGGGGTGGGGTGCAGTTCGGTTTGGTAGTTTGGTTCGGTAGTTCGGCGCACTCGGTTCTGTTAACGGGGCGGGGCGCCCCGCTTGTATAATGGTAGGGGAAACACTGATGTATTTATGTCATGAAATTAGCAAATAATGATATAATTTATTTTCCTGGGCAAGTTTTTTTTACCGGTATTATCGTGAACAATGTGATATGGCCCAGCCCTTTAGGATATATTCAACCAGAGATCTGTTATACAGATATATGAGTAAACCTGGTGAAAAGCGATACTGTTCAAGCAAATCATCCTCTAGGAATGAAACAAATCCAGTGTATGTTTATAAACATCAGACATTATGGAGTAATTCTACTTTGATATGTTTCTGACTGATTACAAAGGAACACAGCTGCTTCAGGTCAGAGGAGACAGGTTTATTTCAGGTTTATTTCTCAGAGTTCGTTACCATGGCAATAGACAGTTTTACTACCCTCTCTTTCTGGAAAGGATCTGAGTTGCACTTAACTCTTGGTCAACTCTGACTTTTTACTAAACCTGCTTTCTGATAGTGATGGTATGTTTGAAGCTGAAACAAACACAAACAAAACATTCACCCATCCATTATCTTTACCTGCTTCTTCCTTTTTGGGTCAGGGGGGAGGGGGGTGTACAGTGCCCATGTCCAGCAGTCACTGTGCAAGAGGTGGGGGACACCTGGACAGCTCTCCAGTCCATCACAGGGACACATAGAAACAAACAACCATTCACTCTCTCACTCACTCACACCTAGGGACAATTTAGAGTTACCAATCAGTCTAACATGCATGTTTTTGGTCTGTGGGAGGAAACTGGAGTATCCGGGGAAAACCTACTCATGCACGGAGAGAACCCAGAAAGGCTCTCAGCCAGGATTTGAACCAGGGCGACCCAATTGCTGAGAGGCGGCAGCTCTACCAACTGCGCCACTGTGCTGCTCCCAAAACAAAATAACAACATATAATTTTAAAAGCATTGTCTGAGCTTGATCTCTTTAGCCAGAGTCTTGTGATCAATAACATCCAAAGCTCTGAAAGCACCAAAGCAATGCCACTGTTAGGTACCTAACTCAAGGGCTTTTAGGAAAATGAATCTTTTGTGGGATTTGTGGTCTGTTTTGGTGGTGAATGTGCACAAAATATAAAACCTTGACCTCTCTAAGTGGCTTTAAACATCTGTTAAATTCCTGGCAAGAACCAATGCAGACATGTTCCTGTTTTTAGTTTTCTACACCGCCTTTTCATCTAGCTGTTTTTTTCGCTACTTTTTTCCTTTTGGCTGCCATTTTATTTTAATTTGTAAAAAAATAAAATTGTATGCCTCTTTTATGATTGTCCACTGTTGTCATCACTCTTTATTAAAATCAGGTCTCTTGTAAATGAGTCCCCGAGGCTCAGTGGGATTAACCTGTCTAAATAAAGGTTGAATAAAAAAAACAAATATATATATATAACGAACCAGCGAGCAACATAAGAGAGATGTGTCTTTCATGTTTTATGTGAATAGTTTAGGAGTTCATAAGTACATCTAAACCTAGGGGAAAGAATTAGAAAAACACTATGTGTGCATAAATTACAACATGATCTCAAAGTAAACATAAACTGGGTAATTACTTACACAAGGTCATGGAGGCAGAAAATGCAGCACTGGCTGGTATATGTTGTAAATTAGATACGATTTTTTACTATTAAATTTGACAAAATACTTGATAAATGTCGAGAGCTTACAAGCAACAGGGCATCATGCCATAACACTTGTTTAAACTGGCTTATTCTTCAAAATGAGTTGTTCAGCTAATAACTATAACTTTATTTTTACCCACAAAAGATCCATGTTTAAAACATCACAATAACAGCCAGATATCAGACAGACAATAAACAACAGCTGCCAACTCAACTTGCTCTTAGGGGCAACCACAATAAAGCAGTTTACATCAGGTTGTAGGTTTAAGAAGCTTTTTATAGTTTTGTGCACAAAATGACGCAAAAGAGGACAGTGTTGAAAATTTTTGAGAAATTTACCGTTTTTAAAAACAAACAGTGCTTCAGAAAAGCATCATTTGGCCATTACTACTTTCTGGAGCATCCTCCAGATGAGATCACACAAACAGCACAACATCCACACCAGCTAAGAAAATCATCCATTCTGGTTATTTTTAAAATAAATATCTTAGCCATAAGAAACAAACAAACATAAAAAAAGAAACAAACGATCAAAAACAACAACAAAAACGTAATACATATACTACATTAAGCTGCAGTTTTCTGTTTAGTACCAGTAAACGGTGCTGCAGTTTTCAAGTTAAACAGTAGGCGTCGCTACGAAATAAACTAAATTGCTTTACAGCTATATGTCCGCTGAAGAAGAGTGGAAGAGGAACTACTCTCTTCAAACACAAACAGCATGAAAGTTTCAACCTATTTGCTTTACTTTAGACGTATTTGAAAGTTTGTAACAATTGTATTTTCTTGAGTTATGTTCATCTGTAACTGCTTAGTTAAAGGAAAACTTTGACAGTCAAAATCACTGGTCAAAACTAGGAAATGTGGAGACAGCAGGTCAAACAGACGTGCAGCGATGGAAGTGGAGCTTAGGACAAAGGCAGATTATGAACTGGAACAGTCGAGTTTAGAGGAAAATAGTAAAGAAAATAATACTCGTGATCCTGCTTTCGATTCCAGAGTTCGACTTCATAACTCAGGTTTGTATATTTACTTTCTATATGATGTTTATTACAGTTTAGCCTCGGTTTTCTGGTAGCTAATGCCGTTAGCTGGATGCTAAGTACCATACGAGTGATGACGTTTGTCAAGAAGGTAGAAGTCTGCGTTCATGCCTGATCAAAACTGCGAATGTATATATTTTTTTAATTTTGTTGAAAAAAATACAAAACAATACAATAAAATGCAGTATGCAGTAACGAAATAACAGCCGCCAGGGGGTTAAAAAATTGAGACAATACAATAACAAATTACATAAATGTATTAAAGACAGCACATAAGGTGCAAGTTTTAATGGCCTTCGAATTGGTGGGATATTTAATAGTTTTAATACATTGTTTGACCTCGTTTTCAAAATTGGAGATAAGAGGTTTTTGATTAGTGTAACAACATTTGTGAATATGCATTTTGGCGAGGTATATAATAAGATTAATAATATAGATTTTTTTTTTTTTTTTAGCTGTTGGGTCAGTGAAGCCAAACAAAACGTGTTCAAAGCAATGTGAGAGACCTGGTTCAATAAAAGTGAAATCAAAATACAAATACTTTTACAAAATTGAGTCGAGAAGGGGCAAGACCAAAATAAATGAAAGACATCTTCTGGGTTTTCAGTTTCATCAAAAAAAGAGGAAATTACATTTATATCCTTGTTAAACCGTTGTAAATACATTTTGGATAGATAAAATCTGTGAATAATTTTAAATGATGCTTCTCTTTATTATTTATCATGTGTCTGGTTGGTAAAATCCAAATCCTTTTCCAATCAAGGTTATTAATAAAGGTGTTCCAATAAGGTACTACATATGGAGTTGACACAACATCTTTCGGAAACAGTGAGTGTATATGACAGTTGCTGTTATGGGTTGAGAAGAAGCAGATTTGATCAATTTCTAGTTTGGTTGGATCAAAGGTTAATAGTGTTAGACTCTGTCCTGCTCCTACTCTGTCCAGGTGGCCCTCTGGAGTAAAATAATTACTCCAGTAGGGATTACTTTTATTACAATATTAATAGGGATCATAATGTTATATTTTATGACAAATTCTTGATATGACATTAATGATCCATCAGGGTTGAGCAACTGACGAACTAAAACTATGTTGTGAATAAACCAATTAGGGTAAAATAAGGATTTGTTTTTATGCAAGATGTCTCTATTGTTCCAAATATAATATCTATGTGTAGAGAAATGATGTTTGTAAATCATTGACCAAGAGAGAAGCATCTGTTTGTGAAAACTGGATTGTTTTGGGGGGACTTTTTCAACATTGTAATTGCAAAATAGAAATTTAGGCCTCCTAATTTGGAGAAAATAAAGTTTTGTATGAAGTCCAAACTTAAGATGGGTTCTTGATAAATTGTTTTAGCCAATTTATTTTAAATGTGTTATTTAAGGTTTAAAGTCCAAAAAGTTGAGGCCACCCTTATCGTGAGCTCATAATTACAGATTTTTTAATATAGTGTTTTTTGTTCGTCCAAATGAAGTTAAACAGCATCCTGTCAACATCTTTAGATACATTTTTGTTAACATCTAGAGATAGGGCAGTGTATGTAAGGTAGGATAGTCCCTCAGCTTTGGTTAGAGATTCATGAGTCTAACAGCCTCAGGGTAGAAGCTGTTCCTCAGTCTAGTGGTTCTATGTCGTATAGGCTTCGCCCTTTAAGGCTGTCGCTTAGTGGGTTTATCCCGTTATGCGAAGCATCACACTGAAAAAATTAGTCCACGCCCACCTGCTGTGTGGGCCCCACCCGATCCGTATAAGTTGCATTAAGAGCGGGTAATCGGCTCCCATTTTTCTTCAGCAAGCTAACAACACTGACCTTCAACAAGATGTCCAGCTCCAACACCATCCGCTTGTGTCCTTCCTGCAAGACCGGTTACTTGCTCAGCTTTGACCGGCACGACACCTGCGAGGGATGCCTGGGTCCCCGCCACGTCGCCCGCGCTTCCTCCTGCCTCCTCTGTGACGATCTTCCACCGGAGGAAAGGCATAGGAGAGCAGCCTTGTTTAAGGCTACCATCGAGGACTGCCTGTCCGTGGCAGGAGACTGTTCGCTGGACGACGCCATGGATTTCTTCGACGCTGGCTCTCGGAGCGAATTGGATGATTCCTCTGGGACTGGTGACGTTAGCAGCAGCCCCGATGCTTGCTCCCTCCCAGGGAGCACAGTGTTGGAACGAGGGAGGCCGAGCGGATGCTCGACTCCTCCGGGTTTTCCCGCCTCAACAGCCACATCACTCCCTGCCGTCGGCGCACTCCTTTCGGAGTTGCCCATCATTATCCGGGAAGCTGCTGACGTGAAGGGACTTTCCGTTCCCTTATCCCCCCCGCCCAGTTCGGATGATCTTGCAGGAAGGTTTGGCTCCACACCGGCTCGCCGTCCTGATCCCATCTGGCCTCGTTTTCCAGCGGTGACGTCATATTGGAACGAGGCCGCAGCCGGTCCTGGTAAGTTGAGAGCGCCCGTCTCCACTTTCGCTCCCATCACCAGAGTGGAGGGGTTCACCGAGCGGGGCTATCCCTCGGTACCCCCCCTTGAGCCAAGCCTCGCGGAAGCTTTCGGAGCAAAGCTGTCCAGGTTGGAGCAGCGTCCCGTCCCTCCTGGGAAACACGACCAGACGGTGAACACGCTCCAATCGAGCTCATCAATGTGCTTTTCAGGCAGCCGCAGCTAACAACAATGTGGCGCTGCTAGCATATAGCGTGTCCAAGAGGCTGGAGGCTGCAGACCTGCCTGAGGAGACCAAGAGCTCCCTCTAATGCAGCCGACGCCATCCTCAACATGTGTGCCTCTTCTACGGTTTGCCTGTCAAGGATTGCAGCATGGATGACGATGATTCAACGATCCACCTGGCTTTGTCACTCCCCCTCGCTGCCGGAGAAACTGCACAAAGACCTGATGGAGGGCCCCATCACGGCGGACGCACTGTTCGGGAGCAGCTTCAAAGCCATGCTGGCGAACTTGAAGCAGTCGGAGGAGGTGTCAGAGGCTGTGCGCCACCTCATCAAGCCGCATGGCTCATCCCGCCCCCCGGCCTGCTGGAGAGACCGTCGTAAGCAGAGGCAGAAACAACGACATTCCACGGCGGCGGCGGCGGCGGCGGCGGCGTCTCTCTCAGCTCCACCACCAGCCCCGCCCGTCAGAGACCAGCCCTCTTCATCCCGGCAACCAGCAGTTCAATGTTTCCCCAGAGATCGCCTGCAGACGGCGCTATGGGCCAACAAATCGCAGAGCTCACGGGGGAGAAGATTTTAAAAAATGACAGTCTGCGGAGGGTGTGTGTAAAAGTGACACGAAAGTTGAAATAAATCATCTTTCAATGATCAAAGTGTCTGTTTCTAGCCAGTCTGTAAGCTCGGATGAACTCACAGCGGCTGCACACACATCCTCCATACATAACGAGCCGGTGTCCTTAAATAAAGGTTTTTTAAACTCACCGTCGATCCAAGACATGACGAGACGCTCACACGACACGATGGTAAGCGAAATAACTCATTGTCAACCCGAGCTGCACGACCCTCACCCAAGCGGTGTCAAACGCGCACTCGTGCCATGCAAACAGCCTTCATCCAAACGGCGCTGCGTTGATGATGGTGCGCACACAGCTGCCCGGCGCTCTCACAGGCTCACATCGGTATAAATGTGGGACCGCAGGCCGGGTCCGGTGAAGGTCCTCGTTCTCAGCAAGTGCGACACACGTCTCACCGAAGCAAACGCGTGCGGCCGCGACACGGGCAGCCTTCACCCACCGCGTCTCGGTGCTCGGCCGCTCACGGCAGCATAAGCATGAGACAGCTGAACGAACCCAGTGACGAGTCTCGCCTCCAGCGAGAGCGGCGCGCGTCCCTCCAGAGAAAACGTGTGCTCCTGCGGGGCTCGCAGCCTTCACTCCAACAGCACGGCGTAGATGAAGTCACGCTCTCCGCCTCTCAGCGTTCGCACAGCGACGTCGAACGCACAGCCCCACGGCGTCATCAGCTGTCACACGCTTCGCCTCAGCACACACCGGGCCACCTGTACATGAAGGTTGGTCCGAACGCAGCGCACGGGCGCGTTCAGAGCCCTTTCGAGGAAGCCTCGCCTTGGGTCATGCGGAAAACATTCCCGCGACACATGACGGCGGTCGAGGCGGCGGACTGGATGACATCCGTACAAAACGTGACGCATCACTTAAATGCACGTCCACTCCATGAACGTTACGCGGAGTGGCTAAAAACATGCTCGCCGGACAGAGGGATGGACAGGGTGTTATGCAAAGGTTACACGTTGCAGTTTGCAACCCGACCCCCTCCGTTCAGAGGAGTTTTAGAGACGGTCCTGTCATCACCAGACCAAATCTCATCACTAAATGCAGAAGTCCAAGAGCTTCTGATAAAAAGGAGTAATCTCCAGGGTTCCCAACGGAGAGGAAAACACAGGGTTTTACTCACGTTACTTCCTGGTTCCCAAACGGACCGGAGGGATGAGACCGATTTTGGATCTGTCAGCTTTCAACAAGGCGATCATGGACAGACCGTTTCACATGTTGACAACCAGACAGCTGTTGGACAACATCCAGAGAAACGACTGGTTTGTTTTTCGTCGACCTAAAAGATGCTTATTTTCACATACCGATCATCCCAAAACACAGAAAATTCCTGCGTTTCTCCTTTCAGGGGATGAAGTATCAGTACAACAGGCTGCCGTTCGGGTATTCCCTCGCGCCTCGTACATTCTCAAAGTGTGTGGAGACAGCCCTGCATCCGTTACACAGAGCAGGGATCAGAGTTTTGTTTTACCTGGACGACCTGCTGCTGCTGTCACGCTCCAGACCGGAAGCAGTGATGCAGGCTCAGGTGTTGACATCACACCTGTTAAATCTGGGCTTCGCCATAAATTGGAAGAAAAGCTCGATTTTCCCGGCCCAGACAATTGTTTATCTGGGAGTGGAGTTAAATTCAACCACCATGAAGGCTCGTTTATCACAAACGAGAATCGACA